GTGTCTCTGATACTCTATCATATGGATGCAAGTGCTCTGGTATATCATTGAGAAACTGCCAAAGCATTAAGGTTTGTGTTAACAGCCAGTGGAAGGATTACATGTGATACAATAGTTTAATAAATGCCAAGTAATTTCTGTAAGCGTCTATTAATGATTGCTAACCTCGGCAGCTTTTCCCACATAAAAACCATTCTGAAACAACTTCAGTGAAAAGGATACCTCAAAGTCTGCACAAAAATCGACTATCAACAAAAAGAAGATTTCTCAGTCAGCACATGATACGATTGCAAGATCAAAGTGGTACATTACCGTCTAAAACTGAATGCTGTCGAAAATTGACTAATACAGTTGAAGGATCAGCAACCTTAGCTTCCATTCCAGTAGATTGAACCTTCACCACAATTACATGCTAAGACTTCATGCAGACTAGTTTCTGGAATAATAAAATGATAAAAGGGTGGGGAGAGAAGAGGAGGGAGTGAACGTGGTATAGTTGAATAGCTCAATTTTTGATGAGAGCCACCGGATTCATCCTGCCTTAACATGTTAAAAATTTAAAATGTTCAGGTCTACTAGAGAAATTGTTGACTTAATAAGCACCTGAAAGACCAACCTTACCCATCACCAACCATTAGAAGATTTAATAATTTAAAAACCTTACAAGCAATTGATAATGTATTTCAGGGGCACCAAGTTATCAAACCACTTACAGACTTATCTATTGCCCTCCAAAATCCCAGAGATAGTTCCCAAACGCAAAATTAAGTGGAAAATAAGTAGACTGACTCAAGAGACAGGGGACCAAAAAACCCAAAAAAGAAGAAGACGAAAGTCCACACTTTTCAGCTTCATCCATGCAGTGCAGACAACGAATATCAATTACAGAAAAACATAAACCCATTGTAAATAAAAACCTGAAATCACCAAAATCAGAAAACCCAAAATCCAACTGAGACACTCACTGAGAGAACAATGAAGAAAAACAAATCAATCAGAGAAAATGAAACAGACTGAATAAGGGGTTGGCTGTTGAAAAAATCATATCATCCACAAACCTCATCATCTCTCTCTCGAGAGTCAGAAACGGAGTCATCTTCATCGTTGCCTTTGTCCTCCTCCGGAAGCACCTTTGGTTTGTACCTCGTACCCGTCTTTGCAACCTGGAAAGACACGCCCATGTCTGACAAGTCACTTTCACTGAGCAATTTCCTCAAACACCTTTTGGTTACAGAGCTAGAGGGTGAAATCTAGTGCATATATATATAAGTATGAGATGAGAGAAATGGGGGCAATGCCCTAGAGTTGACGCGAGAACTTCCCAGTACGTTCTGGTTTTTGGAAGGTCTCGACTTATAGGTTGCCAGCTTAGCCATGAACACCAACACGTAGTAAATATACAGGTCGTAATTGATATAAAGGAAACTTAGTTTTGGCCCCCGTCCATTGATTAATTTACAGCTTATGATATGCTGCCGTAATCCAATTTTGTTTTTATCTTATGTTTATTGTTCGGTGGATGTGGGGCTGTTTTAATTTATTTCACTTTTGGGGCTTTTTAAGACTTTGGTGTAAAGGCAACGGCCACTTTGGCCCGTTATGGTTGCATGAATGCAATGTGTTGGTCAAGTGGGATATTTGCTGGAAAATATATTTGGTATTATCTTATTTGCATCTTAATCTTAAATGTGCTTACTAATACACCTGAGGAATGGTGTGGTGTAGTTGGGCCGCATTATTGTCTGTGGATGCTAGTTGTGTGGCAATAGCTGATTGTGACACATATACCAAATTAAGAGAACAAGGAAGTTGAGAGTTGAATTTACTAGACATATAAATCCTCGCAATGGTACTAACATGTAATAATGCTCTGTTTGCTTATATTACTATAACTTAATAAACTACATGTTTGTAGACTCGTAGTAATAAGGACCACAAGATGAACAATAATTGGGGGCGTTTTGGATCCTTGGGAATGGATGAGATGAGAGTTAAAGAATCATTTAAACTCCAAAGAGGGAACTATTTCTCCAAGGAATAACATTTCATGTGTAAAAAGAAAAACACAGACCAACTTATGATATGCAATTAAATAGGTAGTAATGTTATGGTTACGAGACATGAGAGGAAAAAATAATGTATAAATAAAAAAACATATGGCAACGTATGATGCAACCAAATAGATAGAAACATTACGATTGCGATATATAAAAGGAAAAAACAATGTGTAAATAGGAAAACACTATGGTGCAACCAAATTGGTAGCAACATTATCGTCATCAGACACGAAAGGAAAAAACAATAACGTGTAAACAAAAAACTACGTGGCAACGTAGGATGTAACCAAATAGGTAGCAACATTATGGTCGCAGGACACGAAAGAAAAATACAACTACGTGTAAATCATATGGCAATGTATGATGCAACCAAATAAGTAGCAACATTACGGTTGCATTACATGAAAGGAAAGAAAAACGTGTAAATGAAAACCACCTACCAACGTTACTGTTGTGATACATTAAAGGAAAAAATAATAAGGTGTACAAGCCAACCACCTACCAACGTTACGGTTGCGAATATAAAAGGAAATAATAACAAGGTGTAAACGAAAACCATCTACCAATATTACAGTTGCGATACATTAAAGGGAAAACTAACAATGTGTAAACGAAAACCACCTAACAACGTTACAGTTGCGAACATGAAAGGAAAGAATAACAACGTGTAAACAGAAGTCACCTACCAATGTTACAGTTGTGAACATGAAAGGAAAGAATAATGGGTTCTTAGATCTAGGTCCAAAACGATTAGTTGTCATTGGGTATAGTCCTCGTGTTTTTGGTTTTAGATGTAGGTCCTTTGACATTTATTACTTTTTTGTTGTGTCGATTTTATCCTTTAAGGTAAATAAGGAAAACACATTGAAAATCTAAATTTAATGCATTATTTCCTTGAAATTGAATTCCAAATTTTGAAAAGAATAACAACGTGTAAACGAAAGCCACCCACCAACGTTATGGTTGCAAACATGAAAGGAAATAATAACAAGGTGTAAGCGAAAACCATCTACCAAAGTTACGGTTGCAATACATTAAAGGAAAAAATAACAACGTGTAAACGAAAATCACCTAATAACGTTATAGTTGCAAACATGAAAGGAAAGAATAACAATGTGTAAACGAATGTCACCTACCAACGTTATGGTTGCGAATAAAAGAAAAGAATAACAACATGTAAACGAAAATCACCTACCAATGTTACTATAGCGAACATGAAAGGAAAAAAAACAAAAACATGTAAGCAGTAAAAATAAGAAAAAAAAACATGTCAACATGTTATGCAACTAAATAGGTAGCGACGTTAAGGTTGAATAACATGAAAGGAATATACAACATTTTCCAATATTGTGTTATGATAAAAAAAATATCACATCATTTTTTGTTTTTAATCTTCTGATAAATGTTAATTCATTATATTTTAGAAGAAAATTCTCCTTGGCCTTTACCAAAAAGGAAATAAATCCTCCTTGGCCTAAGTTGTATTTTCCCATGCAAGCGTCCAATCGTGAATCACGAAGGAGATGGTCTTTGTTGTTCTATTTCAATTTTTGGTGTTACAATCGGAGTTATTTTTTTCCTTTTTTTTCCCCCTCCACCTAATCAAGAAGCATTGCAAGTTCTCAATTGTTAGGTGAGGCCCGTGATGGCCCAACCCAAAATATAATCCCAAATTCATTTTCCTTGGCGTTTGCAAACTTGTAAGGGTACCACTCCCGATTTTCAACGAAGAAGGATTTGTAGTGCGTCCAAAAAAATACCAAGGATAATACAGTCACTCGGCAGAGGGCAATCTGGTAAATCAAAAATTGATACAATAAGGACCGTTTGCTAGTGTCGCATGATACTTGTAATTAAATTCAAATCAAATATGATAATTAATATCCTACAAATCAATAACTTACCAGTTTTAGGATTTCATAATTTACCTTATTTATGTTTTAGGTGCATAACTGGAACAAAAAATAAAAAATAAAAAAAAGTAAATATCAATAAATTGAAATAGGCATGTAATCTTATGTGGCGCAAAAGTCAAAGGACTTGGATCAACAACAATTTCTGCATGGATTGCACCCAAAATCTCTCCTCATAATTGGACTTATGCCAAATTTTCTAAAAGAATAACAACGTGTAAACAAAAGCCACCTACCAACGTTATGGTTGCAAACATGAAAGGAAATAATAACAAGGTGTAAACGAAAACCATCTACCAAAGTTACGGTTGCGATACATTAAAGGAAAAAATAACAACGTGTAAACGAAAATCACCTAATAACGTTATAATTGCGAACATGAAAGGAAAGAATAACAATGTGTAAACGAAAGTCACCTACCAACGTTATGGTTGCGAATAAAAGAAAAGAATAACAACATGTAAATGAAAATCACCTACCAATGTTACTATAGCGAACACGAAAGGAAAAAAAACAAAAACATGTAAGCAGAAAAAATAAGAAAAAAAACATGTCAACATGTTATGCAACTAAATAGGTAGCGACGTTAAGGTTGAATAACATGAAAGGAATATACAACATTTTCCAACAAGTTACCGAAAAATATTGTGTTATGATAAAAAAAAAATATCACATCATTTTTTGTTTTTAATCTTCTGATAAATGCTAATTCATTATATTTTACAAGAAAATTCTCCTTGGCCTTTACCAAAAAGGAAATAAATCCTCCTTGGCCTAAGTTGTATTTTTCCATGCAAGCGTCCAATCGTGAATCACGAAGGAGATGGTCTTTGTTGTTCTATTTCAATTTTTGGTGTTACAATCGGAGTTATTTTTTTCCTTTTTTTTCCCCCTCCACCTAATCAAGAAGCATTGCAAGTTCTCAATTGTTAGGTGAGGCCCGTGATGGCCCAACCCAAAATATAATCCCAAATTCATTTTCCTTGGCGTTTGCAAACTTGTAAGGGTACCACTCCCGATTTTCAACGAAGAAGGATTTGTAGTGCGTCCAAAAAAATACCAAGGATAATACAGTCACTCGGCAGAGGGCAATCTGGTAAATCAAAAATTGATACAATAAGGACCGTTTGCTAGTGTCGCATGATACTTGTCCCATTACAACTCCTAAAGGCAGCTGCGGACTCTCCAAGAATAACGTCGTCTTATTATATCACTCTCTCTCCCGCAGCCACCAACCCAAGAGTCAGACTTAACCAAACCACCAAACACTTTCTCCGGAAAAATAATCAGTCGACGCCTCCAAGTAAACTCTCGAAGAAGCCATGGCCTGTTCGAGCCTCGTGAAGCTTAATGCGGCGTCGTCTCAGTGGATCGGTCAGCAGTCCTTCACTCAGCGCCACGGATCGTCCACCAGCCTCTCTACTCGCCGAGTCGCCGTCCCGATCCGAGCTAAGGCCTACACCGACGAACTCATCTTAACCGCTGTGCGTCCTCTCTTACCAATATTTCTATTTTGTTGTTGATTTCATTGCTGGCTGAAAGTTTGAATCTGATCATCACTTTTTATTAATATGTTTCTTTTTGATGTTTTGATTTGATGTTTTGATTTGATTTTGCGTGTGGATATGCATGTGTTTTTCAAGTTTATAAGTTTGAGATTTCACTGCTTGATCGAATTAAACTGTTTCTAACTCTAAGGTTGGATTAAAGTGTTTCTCTCCACTATGATTTGCTCAATTCAATTGATTAATATGGTGGTTTGATCTTCAGACAACTTGTATTTTATTTTTATTGTTTTCTCCGTCACAGCTTTAAAAGTTCTTAGCTCTAAGCCCATGTGACAGCATACTAAAACTGCAATTTTGTATAAATAACAACGGATATTTCTATGATAAAAAAAAAGGAACTGTGTGTTTCCATAGGAGGTTCTAGGTTCAAGTCATCAGTGGCAAATTGTACTTTGTTTTAGTAAGCAATATATGTACACATACAATATGTATTTATGTCCGTGAAAAGCTTTAATATCTTATTTTATTTTCTTTAACTGGTTTGTTTTTGGATGTTATAGAAAACTATTGCATCTCCTGGTCGTGGTATACTTGCCATCGATGAATCAAATGCAACTTGTGGAAAGAGGTTAGACTCTATTGGCTTGGACAATACCGAGGTTAACCGACAGGCTTACAGGCAACTTCTGTTGACCACTCCTGGCCTAGGCGAATACATTTCAGGTGCCATTCTTTTTGAGGAAACACTTTACCAGTCAACAACAGATGGGAAGAAATTTGTGGACGTGTTGCGCGAGCAGAAAATTGTACCCGGAATCAAAGTTGATAAGGTATGGTGCCGCTAGACCATATGTGTTCTATAGCTTGAGAAATTTCTGTAAGTACTTTGGGTGAGATCCCTAATTGTCATTGACGTGCTTCTTTGGTTGACCTTGCAGGGTTTGGTTCCCCTACCAGGATCCAACAATGAATCTTGGTGCCAAGGCTTAGATGGATTGGCTTCACGATCTGCTGAGTACTACAAGCAAGGTGCTCGTTTTGCTAAATGGTAAGTCAATTAATATTTCTTGTGGACTACTGCTGTATAGAGTTTGTATTTCTGTCCAGTTGATCTATTCTATTTGACAGATAAATTTATCTGAGTGTCCTCTCCTTGAAACGTGCAGGCGCACAGTTGTTAGCATTCCTTGTGGTCCTTCTGCTCTGGCTGTTAAGGAAGCTGCATGGGGACTTGCACGTTATGCTGCCATTTCTCAGGTATGTTCAACATTAGACAGCTATGTTAATTGGATTTCCAATCACTGCCTACGGAGTACGAGTGTGATAATTATATCGCTATCCTGAAAATAAAAGTAGTATTTTGCCTTTTTGTTTAGCAAGTAGTTTAACAATGAATTTGTAGGTATTTTTAAATTCTTTACCCGTTGGTCATTGTTATAAAACATACATGATTCATTGCTATTGCATTATGTGCAGGACAATGGTCTTGTGCCCATTGTAGAGCCTGAGATTCTTCTTGACGGGGACCACCCAATAGAAAGGACACTTGAAGTGGCAGAGAAGGTCTGGGCAGAAGTCTTCTATTACTTGGCTGAAAACAATGTGGTGTTCGAAGGAATCCTTCTTAAGCCTAGCATGGTAACCCCAGGGGCTGAACACAAGGAAAAGGCTTCTCCAGAGACCATTGCCAAACATACACTCACAGTGCTTAAAAGGAGAGTTCCTCCTGCAGTACCAGGAATCATGGTAAGATTACCTATCACTTTGTAGTAATTTTAAATATACTATTCTTCTCTTATTATATAGAAGACTAATAGACACTTCTATAAAACCGACTGAGATTTGTGGGAAAAATACTTTTAAGTAGCTATTTGTTCAGTCTCTACAGAAAGCCTGTGCTCAGGTTGTTTTATAGAATACAAATATTTGTGGTCATTTATAGTTGCGAACAATACAACAATGTACTACTATTTATTCACTTTCTCTCCCCCATTAAAATATATCATAAGAACGTAGTACTCAAGATATTTGTTCCCCTCCATGGGCTGATTTATATTTGCTCTCTTTGCTTCTCAGTTCTTGTCAGGAGGACAATCCGAAGCAGAAGCAACCCTGAACCTCAATGCAATGAACCAAAGCCCCAACCCATGGCATGTTTCCTTCTCGTATGCACGTGCTCTGCAGAACTCTGTGCTTAAGGCATGGCAAGGACATCCTGAGAACGTGGAAGCTGCACAAAGGGCACTATTGGTCCGAGCAAAGGCGAACTCCTTGGCTCAGCTAGGAAGGTACTCTGCTGAGGGTGAGGATGAGGAAGCCAAGAAAGGAATGTTCGTCAAGGGCTATACATACTAAGCCAGAGTCTGAGGCAGTTCATTCCTTCGGGAACTTGAAAAGGATGTAATTTACAGCATTTTTTTTGGTGTTAGCTATGTATGCTGAGTAAAAGCTTTTTCATTTCTTTTCCCCCAATAGAAAGACTTGAGAGCTTGAATAAGACCGGTGAGAAAGGATATGTTTTTCAAACTGTAACTTATGAAGGTGGGAGTAGTGGTAAAATTATTCCTATTTATCAAAGTTAATTTTCATAAAGCACCTTGTGATTCTTGAGATTGTTTCTTGCTTACCGTCTGTGTTTTTTTTCGAGACATGCTTCCTACTTCCTTTATTTTGTGTTTACCGAAGTTATGTTTAATTCATTGCTAGATTTCAGTTTTCAAGGCCGTAACTTATTTGAAGTCATCTCATAATTCTCTCCTTTTTTTTTCCTTTTCATTTTTGGTCAAATATCAGTCTAGTTTGAGATAGTTCCACAACCATATCCATTTCTTAAGCGCGCGCTCTCTCTCTCTCTCTCTGTCTGCCGAAGGTTAACCTAGAACCATCCTTCAAGTTGATATACTTTTTCTATTTTACGTTTGTTTGAACTTTGAAAATAAATGAAAAGATAATATAATATAGAGCTTACAGTATTTTGCTTTTTAGGGAGAGTGGAGATATATAGGTACTTTTTAAAAACTAAATCTAAAATAAAAATTTCTCCCACTTCACCAAAATAAAATTCAAATTCGCTCAATCTAAAATTATTTAAAAATGTCGGAAAGCTGGAAAAGCAATGGCATCAGTTCAGTTCGTATATGCCAGAGGCCCAGAGCATAAGATCCAGTTCGTAGCCCAAACGGAAGCGCTGGCGTGCGCACTCAAAGTAAAATACTAAACAAGCTCTCTTTTTGTCTTCTCTTCCGGAGTTCATCATTTCTTCCGGGAAACAAACACAAAGCTCATATTCCTCTGATCTCCAGACGACGCCATTCTGCTCTCACTTTGCATGCCCTCACCATCTCTAGCTTTTCTCTTTCTTCCATCTCCTTCTCTCCAATTCGCCGCCGCACCTTCACATCCCAAACCCATTGCCTTCAAAACCTCACCCTCACCCTCTCCCTCACTCCTCGCGACAATACCAAACTAAGCCTCTGTCTGCCGAAGGTTAACCTAGAACCATCCTTCAAGTTGATATACTTTTTCTATTTTACATTTGTTTGAACTTTGAAAATAAATGAAAAGATAATATAATATAGAGCTTACAGTATTTTGCTTTTTAGGGAGAGTGGAGATATATAGGTACTTTTTAAAAACTAAATCTAAAATAAAAATTTCTCCCACTTCACCAAAATAAAATTCAAATTCGCTCAATCTAAAATTATTTAAAAATGTCGGAAAGCTGGAAAAGCAATGGCATCAGTTCAGTTCGTATATGCCAGAGGCCCAGAGCATAAGATCCAGTTCGTAGCCCAAACGGAAGCGCTGGCGTGCGCACTCAAAGTAAAATACTAAACAAGCTCTCTTTTTGTCTTCTCTTCCGGAGTTCATCATTTCTTCCGGGAAACAAACACAAAGCTCATATTCCTCTGATCTCCAGACGACGCCATTCTGCTCTCACTTTGCATGCCCTCACCATCTCTAGCTTTTCTCTTTCTTCCATCTCCTTCTCTCCAATTCGCCGCCGCACCTTCACATCCCAAACCCATTGCCTTCGAAACCTCACCCTCACCCTCTCCCTCACTCCTCGCGATGAAGGACCGGCCTCCTTCTTCGTACGGCGCCGTTTACGTTCCTCCGCACCATCGCCTCCGGTCAGTCATCACTAGCCCTAATTACACCTCTGCTGCTTCAATTGGCTCCAAACTCCGCGAGAACCAGAGTGCTGCTCTGAACCGTAGGAGCACCAATGGTACTCTGACTTACTACCAGACTCAGCAGCAGGAGCAGCTGCAGAAGCCCAAGTTGCAGCACAATTCTGCTTACGACGACGGCGTTTCCGAGGAAGGGTCCGATCGCGAAGTTGAGTTGCCATCGCGTCCGGTGAGGTTTTATACGTATATGTGCATGCGGAGGGTTTTTAATCGGGGAATTCGTGGTGTGTTTACTCAGTGTGAAATGCTGATTAGGTTTTAGTTAGGGCTCAGCTTCTGAAGTTTGAAGTGCAAGTTGGGCGTTTCACTTTAAGCTCTTAACTTTTGTTAATTGAGTCGGGCTCAGTTTACTAAGTATTATGTGAAATGCTATGTCGATTTTTGATATGCGTTGCTTGTAATTGTTCGAAGTGGGTTTTATAATCGTTGAGGAATTAACCCGCTTACCTGGGACGTTTTAAGTGTTTGACTTGTGTGGTGTTTAACTTCTCTTTGCGAGCTTAGTAGAGAATCTTCATTTACTTTCTTCTGTGTTGCTGTGAATTCATGCCTATCCATTTTGAGAGTCTTGCATATGTAAATGTTAATGGTATTTGTTTTTCTTAATAATGCAGACTCAGGGTGCTTCCCCGTCTGATAACATTGATGATTGGAAACGGAAACTAACAATGCTGTTACGCGATAAGGAGAAGCAAGAGTTGGTTTCAAGGGAGAAAAGAGATAGACGTGATTTTGAGAAAATAGCTGCTTTGGCAAGCAGAATGGGGCTTTATAGGTATCTTTTGTTTTTGTGAGCATGTAAGTGTTTCAATAACTTCTCAAAAGTCTGATTGTGAGAATTTTTGACAGCCATCTATATGCAAAGGTTGCTGTATTTAGTAAGGTCCCACTGCCAAACTACAGATTTGACCTCGATGACAGGCGCCCTCAGAGAGAGGTAATTCCTTATTGATTTGTTTCCTTGCATATGATGTTTCTGTTTAACATAATCTTAATTCATGCAAGACATACTGCCTTTGTTTCACTTTGAGTTCTAGTGCTAACAGTGCTTTTGTTGACAACACTCATTTCTTGCCTCCATGTGCTTTACCATCTCACTTGCTGTTTCTTAGAACTGATGATTTTTTTCAAATGCCCAAGTTCTTTTTCATTCATACTTGACGGTTCTTAAGTGATATGTATATATATTTTTTTAATAAATTGAAAGGTGACCTTGCCTCTTGGGTTGCTGAGGAGAGTTGAGGGCTATCTTGGAGAATTCCTTTCTCAGAAGTCTAGGACGAAGGAAGGGCTTCCAGATGCTTCCTTTTCTAGATCAAACAGTAGTGGCAGCATTGCTACTGATGAAGGGCTTTTTGAGCAACCAGAATCATTGGCGTCTAGTAAGGTTGTAATGGAAAAAATTCTTTGGCGGAGAAGCTTGCAGCTGCGTGATAAGCAACAAGCTTGGCAGGTTTGTCTTACCTTGGCAGATTCGGCAGCATGATTGGCATTCAGTTATCACTTATAAGATGAATCATGTTCTTTATGCTACGTATATGTAATATTTTTCTAATTCATTCTATAGGAATCTCCTGAAGGTAGAAAAATGCTGGAACTTCGGAGAAGTCTCCCTGCCTATAAAGAGAAGGATGCATTGTTAACTGCAATTTCACGGAATCAGGTTAGTCATTATTTATCATGAGAATTCATTTCCCCAAGTTATGCAAGATGTTATATCTGACTTTGGTCCTTGTTTTACAATTTGGTTTGGTGTGTGTTGAGGAGGGTCAGCTCTTTTTCTCATGAGTGGCATAATCATTTTTGTTTTGTTTTCCACATTGTCGTTTTCAAAGTTAAGGTAGTAGATGTTGATACATGCTAATCATGCAATTATTTTTAATTCAAATATGCTAGCATGCCACTCGACAATAATTATTTTGGCACGTAGTGTTGAAAGCATGAGATGATAGCGTTTGATGAGCATAATTTTGTATGTGTAGGTTGTTATCATATCAGGTGAAACTGGCTGTGGCAAGACCACTCAAATTCCACAATTCATTCTAGAATCTGAGATAGAAGCTGTTCGTGGAGCTGTTTGTAGTATTATATGTACACAGCCTAGACGAATATCTGCTATGTCTGTTTCTGAAAGAGTTGCTTCAGAGAGAGGGGAGAAATTGGGTGAATCAGTGAGTTTTCCTCAATTTTCTTGGGATACTTGATCAAATTATTACCTTCTAAGGTTATTTAAAAAAGACCTTTTCCTTGCATTTCTTTGTTCTTAGGTTGGGTATAAGGTTCGGTTAGAGGGTATGAAAGGGAGGGACACCCGCCTTCTCTTTTGCACCACTGGCATTTTGTTGAGAAGATTACTGGTTGATAGAAATTTGAAAGGTGTAACTCATGTGATTGTGGATGAAATTCATGAACGTGGAATGAATGAAGGTAATTTAGCACTAGATTGAGGCTTTAATTTTGGATGATAGAGTGTGATATCTCACTGTAATCATGTGATGCCAGATTTTCTGCTTATTGTTCTCAAGGATCTCCTACCTCGTCGACCAGAACTGAGGCTGATTCTGATGAGCGCAACCCTAGATTCTGAGCTTTTCTCATCCTACTTTGGTAGGGCTCAGATAATTCATGTTCCAGTAAGTTAAAAAAAATGTCATAAGTAGCAATTTCTCCATCCAGAGATGTGTATTTCTGTTAAGAATTTGTGTGTTTTCTCTTGTATTGGAGGGATGTTATGTATTGATGTGTATTTCCTTCTGTTTCCTGAGGGAATTATGTATAACTTATTAATGCAAGTTGCAGAGGATAGGTAATAATGGTCTGAGATGGTTTTCTACTTTTGTTTTTCCCCTCCAATTTAGGGTTTTACATATCCAGTTCGAACTCATTTTCTGGAGGATGTTCTGGAAATTACGGGCTGCAGATTAACTCCATACAATCAGATTGATGATTATGGTCAAGAAAAGATGTGGAAAATGAGCAAACAGGCACCGAGAAAGAGGAAAAGCCAAATTGCATCTGTTGTTGAGGTATACAAGCTATTGCATAAACGCTTTTGTCCTTTTCCATTTCCTGGATCTTATCATTTTTGCCCTCTTGGAATGTATTCAGGATGCACTTAAAGCAGCCGATTTTAATGGGTATGGTCCCCAGACTCAGGAATCTCTAGCATGTTGGAATCCTGATTGTATCGGTTTTAATCTCATAGAGTATCTTTTGTGCAATATCTGTGAGAGTGAAAGGCCTGGTGCTATTCTAGTTTTTATGACTGGATGGGATGACATCAACTCTCTGAAGGAAAAGTTATATGCCAATCCTCTCTTAGGTGATTCAAGCCGAGTCTTGTTGCTAGCATGCCATGGTTCTATGGCAAGTTCTGAGCAGGTAAGTTTTTAATGCCCTGATTATTGTACAATG